CAGCAGGGGTCCAATGTTGCCCCTGCTTTTCCTCCGGCTCCCCACATATCTGAAAAAGGACTTTTTATTGTCCTTGATGGTCAAAGCTGGCTGGAGTTCAGTTGCAGCCTTGGCTTTCCTAGTCTGCTCCTTACAGGACCGGACCAGTGCAGAATAATCCTCCTTGGAGGTGACTCACATCCTCCATCCTTTGTAGGCCTTTCTTTTTAGCCTCAGGAGGTCTGCTAGTTCCCTGGAGAGCCAGGGGGGCTGCTGTGCCCTCTTGCTGCCTTTCCTCCGAGATGGAATAGACTTCGTTTGTGCATTGAGGATCGCTCCCTTGAGGAGCAACCACTCTTCTTGAACTCCCCTTTCCCTGTGGTCATACTGGAAAGAAGGGAAGTGTGAGTGGGATATATTGCTAACTCTTCTTTTCCCAGCTGAAAGGTGCTCTGATACTCAAGTGCTGGTCATGGCAATCATAATACCTAGACTGGTAAAGTACACAGGAGAGACATTCATTAGTTTGCTTTCCATTTCTTGTTTAATTTTTTTTTTCCAGTTACAAAGAAGAACCCAACAGAAATGATTATCATATCTTTACAGCATAGTTTGGCAACTGTTGATCCTTCTGGATCATGCTGTATGCATGATAGGTCACCTAGACCTTCGATGCATATGCCTAGATAGGAGTTTTTTTGGAGGAGTGGAGGCTGCCCAGATCCTCCATTCCCCCTTTAGGCCAGTGAAACAGAATCCAAAGGCCAGACTGGGTCTGATGCCTCCATGGCTGCATTTGTGTAAGTGTCCAGGAATTGAACCAGGGACTCCTTTACAGTACGGTAGTCTTGAAACTTGTACATTTTCTGTTCCTGTTTTTTTGAATACATAAAATCATTCTCTGCTCTCCTCACTTGCCCCTTATATTTCAAGCCATCATTCAGTGACTGGAAAGATGAGCACTCTTTCAGCCATCAATCATTCTCCTTATGTATGTAACTCAGAATGAACTTCTGAATATCTTTCTTTTCTCTTGAATCATCATTTGAAACTTCTTAGTTATCAAAGCATAGAAACCAAAGTGCCCCCATAGGATCTGTTCAGTGTCTTTAATGGGAATATTTGTGCTGACTTGTTGTATGACCACTTTTCATTTTTGTTTTCCCACCTTTGTCTCAGAAGCTGTCATCCATATACTTTATAAAGAAAGTAACTACATTTTGAATATGACTCACAACTGTTGTACCCAAATCAGAATATTCTCAGCAACAGTTATGATCTACTACTTATAACCTAATGTTTAAGAAAAATATATAATGATTTGAATAACAATATGCTTAATTATAAACCCACTCAGTAGCTGCTCAATTAAAAGTATTTTGCTTCTTTAAGGAATGGAAACATTTCAAAGTAATCTTAGATAAACCACATAGGTTTAGAGTATCTAATGGCATATAAAAATATCAGTTGATTCAGGGGTATAGGCTGTAGCCGTGTTGGTCTAAGGACATAGGCAGACAAGGTTCTTTGGGTAAATCTGATATATTTTATTGGACCAACTCAAATAATTTTTAAAAAGTCTTCTTTCCATAAACATCCTTCGCCGGGCTGAGGAAGCATTTGCAGTTGGTCAGTAGATTCATGACTTCACATAGATATATCAGACACCTGAAACATTTATTTTATTCTTACTTGCTCAAACTTTACTATAAACTTATACTAAATTTATCTTTTGTTTAGATTATAAAGCAACATAAAACAAAAGGTGTGTATTAAGAGTAGCAAAAAAAAAAAAAAGCACACTACTCATACAGTTAAAACTCAAATCTCACACAGTCAGAGATACAGCACGTATTTATAACCGACATACACAAGGTATGTGCCATTTTATAATGGTACACATTTTAGAAGTAAAAAACTTTGTCAAGAGAATACTAACATTGCATACTCATACACCAGAAGTTAAGGTTTTGTATACAGAATTATATTGCTTTCTATTGACTTTGTTTCAATCCAGATGGACATCCAAACAGCAAGGCATATTTTCCCCCAAGAATAAGACCTAAATTACGAACAAACTGGAAGTCTCAGAAGGATGGACATATTGGCCCCAGGCAGATGGAAACTCTGTATGTAGCTGTAGCTGCACAATCAAAGGCATAGAATTAAAATATCTGTTCTCACATACTTACAACACTCTTGCCTCCACCAAAACAGTTCTTATGCAGCTTTTTACTTAAAAGTGAATAAATATGCCATACTTACCATATTTACTCAAATATAAGATAATCCTGAATATAAGGCCATCCTCCCAATGATTAGATTCTATATATAGAAAATTTATAAATCTGTTCTAATTTTCCAGGTATAGAAACTAACTCTTGGAGGTTTGCCTTGAATTTTTCCCCTTCCCACTGCTAAACAGGGAAAATAAATGGGGGTGGAGGGTAAACTGGCCCTAATGACCTCTTCCCCTCTCCCAACTTCCACCTGCAGCCCCTTCCCCCCTCCTTACTGTCAGACCCTGCTCTTCTTCCTGAGCACATGGAAGTGAGGAGCAAATCTGAAAACAGACTTTGAAATAAACATGCCTGTAGTAATCTGTGTATAGGCAAATTACTATGGGTGCCCATAGACTTAGTTCATCCAGAACTTATGCATCTTACCTTTTTGAACCTGCTGCAAGTTTTAGCACAGGTACTCCATAAACACACTTTTAAGGAGCACCTTTGTACCTTACATATAGCACAAGCTGTGCCTGTTATTAGTGCTAAGTCAAAAGGCTCATGATTTTAGCATATAGTTCATTGGGCTGGGCCCCAGCAGAGTCAACGGTATTTTAAGCCATGGGAACCCCAAAACTCAGCACTGCTCAGTATGTGAGTGTACTTCTCCCCCCCTGCCCTGCCCCCCAAAATCCATGTGCTAATAAGCCCTAAACTCACTACCACAGGGATGGAGAGTTTCATGTGGTTACTGAAATAGAACCCCATGAAAAAATGTTACGTGAAGAGAGAGATTTCTGTAAGGGTTTTTTTGTGGGGAGATGATGCATGTTGTTAAGGGCTCAATATATGTACTTGTATGTTTTTGATATGTAGTTGTTTCTGTGCTATGAAGCCATGGTAAAGCAAGGATGTTCACTATGTGTAGCTTTGCATGTATAGGGTGATACGTATTGTTTGGTTTTGTTTTGTTTTTTACAAATTTTATTAAAATGGTTCCCATCTGTACACTTTGCCTAATATAAGCCATGTGTTTTATAGGCATGCACAGTTCTGGCTGCATTTAATCAACTTCATAGTTGAATTCTGTTACTGAGCACATGCTCCTTTTGGCAGCAGTTTAATGATAGGTAATGTATTTAATGAGGTTTCCTTGTATATGAATGTAAGACAAAGAGCTTTTTTCCCTCATGCTGATTCAGGGGCAAGGTGGGGAGAAACCTTGTCTTATAGTCAAGTAAATATGGTATTTTAAAACTTAATATTCTGCTTCAGTTTTTACTGTCCCTAACTACACAGGTTACCTCTTCTTTCAAAATTAAAACAGTAGTACAGAAAAAGTCACTAAAAAAATTAAATTGTTCTTGTCAAGAGCTTAAGTCTGGCACAGAAAGAACTGTTTAGTTGCAGTATGCTACAAGTCTTCCTGGAATATTGAAAGCTGCATAATTAGTTCTTTCCGCATATTCGTTCAGCTGTCTTGATTAGTTTACTTTCCAAGTGACTCGTGGACCTGTGCATAAACAGTGAACCAAAATTAAAACAAAACAAACATTTCCACCAGAGGCCTGTGGCAGCTGATGTAGAAAGTGATTTGCAGATTCACAACATCTCTCATATACACACCTCGGTGAAATTCTGA